CCTTTAAAATGTTATTTTCTTTTAAGTGAATACTTATTAGACTAGCTTACTGTCTGATTAAGGCTAAATATTTTGAATTTTGTGTGTGCATTCTGTCATTCATTTATTTATTCATTAAATATTTATGAGGCATCAACTGTATGCCAGGCACATTTCTGGATACTAAAGTTACAGCAGTAAATAAAACAGACAAGGTCCCTGCTTCATGGAATTTAAGTTCTAGTGTGGGAAGACAATGTGAACAAGACTGACATATTGGTAGTGATAAGTGCTGTGATGAAAATAAAACATAGTATTGGGATATAGAGTGACTAGGCAAAGGGGCTACCTTAAGTTGAAGTGGTCACAGAAGTACTATCTGTGGTTACATTGAGCCAGACACCTCAGCGTGAGAGGAAGCCAGCCATGTGAATATTTGAGAAAAAGAGGTCTCTCATAGAGGGAATATCTAATGCAAAGGCCCTAAGGCAGAAAGGGCCTTAGTCTTTAAAAAAAAAAACAGCCAAAAGGCTCATGTAGTGAATATATGGAAAACATGATGTCAGAGAAATAGTAGGGGCCAGATCATGCAGGAAAATGCAAATCAAAACCACAATGAGATATTACTTCACACCCACTAGGATGTATGACCTATAGACCATGATAAAAGGTTTGGAGATTATTCTAATTGCAATGAGCAGCCATTTGAAAGGTTTTAAATAGGAGAGGAATTTAACATTGTTAGTGATCATTTGGGTTGTTGGGAAGAGATGGTCTGTGGGGGTAAAAGTGGACCAGGCCACTTTAGAAGGCTGTGGCAGTAGTCTACAAGAACAGCAACGGTAGCCTGGAATGTAAGGAAGCAATAGAGATAGTGAATAGTGATCAAACTTCAAAGCATATTTTGTAGCTGTAGCTGATTGGACTTGATGATGGTTCACATGTTGAACAAGCAGAAAAAAGTAATAAAGAATAAACCTTCATTTTTAGCATGAGCAACTGAGTGGATGATCATACCACTAAATATGTAACAGGACTACAAATTTTTACTGAAATATTTGCAAATATGTCATTTCTTTATTTCTGGTTCATCTAGTTTTCCTCACAAGCCCCAACTTACTGATTCATGGGACACAGTGAAGGGATTGGGGGTGGGGGGACAAAGAATATTTAAAATCCAAAATCGATTGAATACTTAATCTAATCCTATAATTTAGCAGTCTCTTCTTGTAATTTTCAGACTATCAAGATATCAAAGATATCTCTCAAATTTCTCCGTCCTTAACCTCCCTCTTTCACTCCTTTCCAATATTGAGACTGTCATCTCATGATGGCACAGACAAGGAGGTCCTGGATCTTGATGCAGGTGTTATTCATGCTGATTGGGACATAGTACTGTCTCTTGTATATTTGCTCACTAGCTTCTTTACTGGCCTCTGAAAATGATGTCTGTAGCTGGTAATTTTTTTTTGTTGTTATTTTTTGGGGGGATTTTTTTTGGCAGCAGGAAGTGAGGAGGTGTTCCCTTGCTGAACTAGCTTCATTTCAGTTCTCACTAATTTCTATAGAAATAAAAATCATTTAGTAAAATTTAATATCTATAACATTAACTATGATACTTAATGGTGAAACTTCAAAGAAATCAGCTGAGATTAGTACTATTCACCATTTCTATTTAACATTTGCTAAGAGTCCCAACCAGTACAGCAAAAACAGAAGAAATAATCTACAAATTATAAGAATTACTGAGTTCAGCAAGATGCTGAATATAAAATTAATATAGAAAAATAGATTCCATTCTTCTTCACCAGCAACAAGCAGTTAGAAAGCTATTTCTAAATACAATTTCTAATACAATTAGCAAGAAAATTAAGTGCCTAGGAATAAATGTAACAAAATATTTGCAAAAATTTTATAGAAAATTTGTACAATTTGATAAGAATTATAACAGTTTATTAAAGATCTAAATAAATAGACAAGCTTTTTATATTCATGGATGGGAAGACCCACTATGATAAAATTATCAATTCTTCAGAAAAAAAAACTATAAATTTAGTACAATTTTAGTCAAAATCCTTACAGGATTTTTTTTGTAGAACTTGATTGATGAAAAGTGATTTTCAAATGTATGTTAGACCAACGGGCCAATATCAACACATTTTTTAAAAACAAGTTTTAAAAGGTAGGGGTAGGGTGCAGGTCATGGGTATGGTGGAGGTGAAAGGGCAAACTTGACTTACCTGACGTTTTAATTTATTACTGAAGCTAGGGTAATTAAGTTAGTGCCATATTGTTTACAGATAGACAGACCAATGGAAATAGAAGATAACCTAGAATCAGATCTAAGTGTATTTTAAAACTTGATGTTTGATAAATTGATTATATACTGCATATCTATAAGGAAAGGACAAACTATTTATTAAATAGTTCTAGTACAATTGATTATCCAAATGGAAAAAAAAACCTCTCCCTCACACAGATGCGCATGCACACACACACACAAAGCATTAAATTCCAAGTAGATTAATGACATAACTGTAAAAATCAAAATTTTACAACTCTTAGGAAAACATTTAAGAGAATACTTTATGACCTCATGAGGGAAGGGAGAGAAGCAGTAAGGATCTCTTAAACAAAACACAAAAAGAAACAAGAACAAAATATTGATGAATTTGTTTACATTAATAATTGCAAACTTGTATTAATCAAAATTTATAAGGCTGGCCGGTTAGCTGAGTTGGTTAGAACGTGGTGCTGTTGCCACAAACATCCAGAATTTGATCCCTATACTGGCCAGTCACACACAAAAAACAAAAGTACAAAAACCCCCCAATTCACAATAAAGTGAGAAAATAAACTACAGGCTGCAAGCTGGAAAAGATTTGTGGTATACAGAATGAACAAAATACAAATATATATAAAAAATTCTACATGTAACTCATGAAAAGAACAACCCAGTAAAATAATGGGCAGAAGATAGAAACCAGACATTCACACATAGAAGTTCAATAACTTTATGGGTAGATATTCATTCCTTTGTAATAACCATAAGGCAAATTGAAATCACAAATTATTTACTTTGTACCATGAAATAGACAAATTTCAAGTCATAGAGTACCAAACTATAGAGTAATTGGAACTCTTAGACATCACTGTGGGAATGTAAATTGATTGGCAACACCACTTTGGAGAACAATTTGGCAATATCGTGAAGATGCATATATCCTACAACTCCATAGAGTCATGCACAGGGTGTTTATTACAACATTGTCTGTAACAGAGGGGAAAAGAATTAATCAAAAGAAAAATGGTTAAATAGGTTGTAGTTGATAATAACATGGAATCCTGTAGTAGTGAAAAAAAAGAAAAGAAAAAGTGAATGGATTAAAGGTACTGAATAATTTCAAAAACAAAATGTGTTAAAGTTTCAAGGAATACTGCTTATTTAAAGTTTAAAAAGATACAAAATAACCATATATTGCTTGGAGATGCATACAAATGGAGTAAAAGTATAAAGGAATGCATGGGAACAATAAACAAATTCAGGACAATGTTTGCACCTGAATGTGGAGAGAGGGTGAAATGTTTGAAAGGTATATGTGTATATCGGGCTTCAATGATATATACATACATTGGTTCTGTATCTTAAAGTGGGTGGTGTGTATACATGGGTTTTCATTGTATATTTTAATATCTTTATATATATATTTAAATATTGCATAATACATTTTTAAAAAACAGCAGAAGTTAGTGAGAACTAACAATTATTGAGCTTTTCACTGTAAGTCGAGTCCTTTCTAAGCTTTACATACATTTCGTCATTTAATCTTAGTAACGCTTTAAAGTGGTTTTATTGTACCCCTTTCATTTAACAGGAAACCGAGGCTTTAGAAGCTGAATAATCTACCTCTGGCTATATAGCTATTAGATACAAGAGCCAGAATATGACTTTTAAAAGCTCACACCCTTAAACTCTATGAAGGTTAATTCACCTCTTAGGAAGAGGCCTTATAAACTACAAGACCCCAGGGTAGTGCAGCTATCATTTCTGCCTCTGGATGCAGCTGTAACTACAGCAATAGAATACAACTGCTTTGGCTTCTAAATTCAGTAACTTTCTGAGGCTAGAAGAGCATTTGGGAGGATAGGGCATGAGTCATTTCCTTAGGTATCTGTTTATTCCTCAACAAATATTTATCGAGAGCCCACATGGCACAGCGGTAAACCACAATTATTTCATATCTACATCATTTTTTGAGTGTGCCAGACTTTGAGGACACAGATTTGAGATTTTATTTTCATATTCAAATACTGCAAAAAAAAGTTATGATTAATTTTTAGCCGTTTTAGAATTTTCAACCTGGCTTACTGTGGATCTCACTTAAGCCTAACCGTTGTTGATCTGCAACTTCATATGGCATCCCACTTTTTACCAAAAAAGTGTATATTGAAAACTTTTAATCTACTTTTGGCTAAACAAAGTACTGATTGAAATGAAAATATGATTTCAACAGTTAATATGACTACCTCCTTTTTCCTTGTATTTCCTTCTCTACTTTTTTTCTCCCACAGATCAAAGAATCTCTCTTTAATGCTCTCTATTCCAATGAGATTTCGAGATTGTGTTTGACCATGTGTTAGACATATTTTCATAATCCTATACACAAGTCTCTGAGTTTACTGTAGCTCATAGAAGTCCTGAAATGATACATTTGGGTTTAGTTTAATTACATTATTGCAAATTAAAATGAGTATACTGAAACCAAGTAATTTTCTTCCTAGAGTGAAGAACAGTTTAATTTTTTCTATCTTGTTCACTTTGTGTGTGAACTTTATAGCTAGTAACAGCTATACCTCTAAATCATTATGACTTCTTTTTAAATAATTATACAAACATAATATTGTTGAAAAGTAACCCTCATTTTTACTTAGTGTTCAATTCAGTGATTACATAACTATTCAGACACTCCACATATTTTTTTCTTTAAGCATTTATTTCCTTTCTTATATTGAATATTCAGGGACCAGAAGGAATTGTGGGAATTCCAGGACAAAGAGGTCGTCCAGGAAAAAAGGTAATTTTTTTTAAACATCTTTTTATGCTGGTTTTCTTTCTTTTGATGTGCCCAGAGCTTCATAGAATGTTGTAATGTTTTTATCTGCACTGAATATAAACTAATTAATAATTGTAAATTTGACTAAAAAAGGGCACAATTGTATAAATTAATATTAAATTTCAGTTAGGAGTACTTATGACCTTGATTATATGAAGACAGATTTTCCAGTTTGTAGTTTGTAAGAAAAAATCTTTGCTCTTTCTTCTTCCATCATTTGCCAAAAATTATTTTCATAGACCATGGGCAAGAAAAGAGATAACAAGAGAATACCATGTCATTGGTGCTATTTGTTAAAAACTTTTGTAAAATATTTGAGGGAAATGAATATGAATTGTTTCTGGGTTTGTTATTAATGGGTTTTTCTGAATTGAAAAGGTAATTACTGATTTTATCTTTCCCATATAAGAACCACAAATCAATAATATTTTTATTTGCTTTATATTTTACTAAAAAAAAAGGCATATTCGTAAAATTCTAGTTTATGATAATGAAAAATTCACCTTTGTGTAGGATCAATAATTTGTTTAAATATTTGTGAAACATAGGAATGGTTTTCCCATTGGACTATAAGAGTTCAGAATATATTTATTATAATTAAATTTAAATCATACCATATTCTAGGTCCCAAAGTCCAATTCTGGTATTTCTGCTGAGATACAGCTAGTCCATCTCCCTGAGAATTTTTAGACAGTAGGAAGGATAATAGAAAATAGAAACAAATGAGGTAACTTTTAGTTGCCATTTTACCCATGAAAATAACCTCGATATTGAAGTCTCTTTCATCATACATAATATTATGTCTAAAGTCAACAGAAGAAGTGAAAACAGTGCAGATCTTTACAACAACCGGCATCCCTAGGAAAGTAAAATAAAGCCTATGAACTGTGACTAATACTAAAAATTTCCTGACTGGCTGTAGTCACAGTTTAGTTTTTCTTTGTGTCTTCTTATCAATAATAAAACAGGTTGACTTCCACTTTCAGAAAATGAATAATAACAATGTTGTTTAAGAGCAGCTGTATTTTGATGTTAAAGAAGTGTCAGTCGGTCTAATGGAAAGCAGAAGGTAACCAGTTTTCAGAAGGATGTAAAATGATATAAAAATATTATGTTTTTTTGAAAGCATACTCTTAAGCCAGTAAGTGGTGATGATCCTAAATATACAGAACTGCGCACTAGAACTTTTTGCATTGAACAGGTCTTTGTGACACTGATATTCTCTGTAGAAACAGACTTCTCATAGGGCTTGTGTTTTTTCTCATGATTACACTATATAGACATGCATACATATATTACAGAATTCAAAAGAAAAAACTTGATTATTGGAATTCCACATGAGCACCAGATAATCCCGTGCTTGGTTGTTCAAAATTATTATTTTAATCTTCTTTTTCCAAAATTACTTTTATCTTTAAAGTAATTTGTGTGGTGATAGTATATTATTAGTGTTAGTGGTGGTCTGTAATACTATTAACTTAAAGCAAAGTTGTATTTATAGAATTTTGCTTACTGAATATTCTCTGGAGTTATTCAGGTATATGATATAATTATAATTTTTATTTATAATTAATCTAAGTATAATTTTTTTAAAACTTTTCTCTTTTATTAATGTCATCCACAGGGTGATAAAGGACAAATAGGACCCCTGGGAGAAGTTGGAAGCAGAGGTGCTCCAGGACAAATTGGAGAAAGTGGTCCTAAGGGTGCCAGAGGAACTAGAGGTGCTGTGGTCAGTATTTGATTTGCTTCCAGAACTGAGTCACTGTGGATGGAAAAGAAATATATCCATGACCTTAAAGCTTCATCCCTTGATTAACTTTACAGAGAAGGCAGTAGTTCCATTGAAAATAATCTACCTCTATGGGATGTGGAGAATTGTAAGCATTCACATTCCACAGTACTTAAATGGCTTAGTGGTTTCTGGACATGAAAAAGGAAAGGAAAAAAACTAAAAATGGAAACAAAACATGAAATGAGGTTTTTAAAAATGGATTATAACTCCTAACCTAAGTAGGAAAGTTTATATACTTAGCACTTAAAATCAGGATTTAATGTCTGTATAAAACTGTGCTGTCATGGCTGACAAATTGCTTTGAAAATTAGGTTTACTTGAAATGGATTTACTTTCTATGCTTGGATTCCACATGCTTTATCTGGAGGTTATTTTTTTAACCAGCTATGATAAATCTCCATAACATCTCATTACATCTTTAATCTTTTACATGAACTTTGCATGATGTTGGGAACAAGTGTAGTGTGATACTTATGAACCTACAATAGCAAAATTATATTGCTAATATATTCATACCTGTTCAGAAAGTCACAGCATGAAAGATGCAAAATATTTAAAAAATTATCCGGTTTAACCTTCTGACTATTTCTTAAGTTTATTTACAAAATGCATGTGTATCAGGGTCTTTAAAAAGTTCATGGAAAGATTAGTGTTATCTTATAGTTTTATTTTTCTATGAACTTTTTGAAGTATCCTTGCATTTCCTAGTCTCTATTAAAATATCACAAATGCTAATCTTTTCATTTTTGGAGTCCATTGCATAATCCATTTATTGTCTAAGCGAGGTTTGCCTCAGGCTCATTTTCAATATCTTATTCCTTACTGTCATCTTACTGCTCCAAGCCTTTCTTACTTCCTCATATTTAAATTACTAATATTTCTCTGTCTTTGGCCTATGTGTTCAAAAACATTATGTAATGTGACTAATTTTAAATAAACATAAGAACTGATATATATATATACAAAGAATATTGCCTTCAAAGTAGGCTCCTACTTTGGATTTTTTGCTATAAAATTATTCACTTTCTTGTAACCCCAAAGTGTTTGGATCCCTATACCAGCCAGCTGCAGGAAAAAAAAAAAAAAAAAGAGTATTCACTTTTTAAATTTTTATACATTCCCGAACTACCTCTCCAAGAGATTTCACCAAATTTACAGTCCTACCACCAACACTTCATATTAATTCCTTTGATGTTTGCCAATCTGATAAATGAGAAAGTATATCTCAGTTCTCTATTTACGTTTCCCTGATTGCAATGAAGTAATTTGCACTTTTTTTCCTCTGGAAGTTGCCTGTTCATATATACTTTCCATGTTTTTCTGTTAGGTTTTTCTATTAGGTTCATATATACTCCTTACATGTTTTTCTATTAGGTTTCTATTGATTTGCAACCAGTCCTTATATTTTTTAAATATTAATATTGTTTTGTTAAATATGTTGCAAAACATATTACAAATATGTTTCTCTGTCTGTCATTTATCTTTTAATTCTGTTTATATATTTTGCTATATAAACATTTTAATCTTTACATAGTCAAACTTGTCAATCTTTTCCTTTACAGTTTTTGTTTTTTATTTCTTCATTAGAAATGCCTTCCCTACCTCAAGTATATAAAAATATTCTTCCATATTCTTCTCTTACTGTTTTTATAGCTTTACTTTGCCCTTACCTCTTTAACACATTTGGAGTTTATTTTTTTGGTATGTAAGTTTTAGAAGACTAATTTTTTTTGTTTTCAAATTGATAGACAATTGTCCCAATTCTATTTATTGAATAATGTATTTCTCTCTTTTCTGAAATGCTACCTTTCCCATACACTAAACTCTCATATATTTACTGGTCTGTTCCAATTCTATTTTCTTTTCTCAATCTGTTAGTCTATTTCTGGGTCAATACCACACTATTTTATTATTAAACCATTATAGTATCTTCTGAAATCTGTTAGGGCAAATACTTCCTAATTCATTTTTCAAAAAAGCTTCGCTGTTACTGTTATTTCCTCTTTTATGTAACTCTAGAGTCAGTTTGTCGGGGCTGGCAGGTTGGCTCAGTTGGTTTGAGAGGAAACTTTTAACAGTAAGAGCACTGGTTCACATCACCATACTGGCCAGCTACCAAAAATAAATAAATCGAATAGAGTCAGCTTGTCAATTTCCTTTATTATTGAATCTTTCTATAGAGAAACACCTGTGTCTTTCCGTATACTCATATCTTCTCATGTCCTTCCGTAAAGTTTTGTTATTTCCTTTATCTCTGTTTTTACACCTCTCTTGTTAGGTTAGTATTAGTTTTTTCTTTTTATGGATTTTATTCTCATTGTTAATGTAATCCTTTTTCCTTTACATGATCTTATTGCTGCTATGTAAGAAATCTATTTTTATATTTTGATCTTATATCCATTTTAATGAATTTCATCGATTCAAGTAGATGTTGAATTTTATCAGATGCTTTTACAACATTTATTTAGATCATCCCATGCTTTCTCTCCTTTGTTAATATAAGGAAATTTATTAATGGATTTCTAAAAGTTGAATCAACCATGAATTCCTAGGATAAATCTTACTTAGGTATGGTTGTATTATTCTTCTAATGCTGTGGGATTCAGTTTTCTTATGTTTTATTTAAGAATTTTGTTTCAGTTTATTGCATTTGATTTGTCTTAAGAAATTTACATTTGTTTGTAAGCAAATAGCCTGTAGTGAAGTGGTTTTTGTTTGGTTGTTTGGTTGGTTTTTTTGGTTTTTGGGGGTTTTTTTTGGTGGCTGGCTGGTACAAGGGATCAGAACCCTTGACCTTGGTGGTATAACACCACTCTCTAACCAACTGAGCTGACTGACCAGCCCATGTAGTGTTTTTTTTTTTTTGTTTGTTTGTTTAATCTGTACTATCCTTGTTGGGTTTGGGTATAAGAGTTGACCAAGCCTTATAAAATGAGTTGGTAAATTTTCCATATGTTTCTGTTCTTTTTAAGATTTTAGAACGTAGATATTATCTGATCTTTAAAGGTTTTGATAAAACTTGCCTTTAAAACAACCTGGGCCTAATGTTATTTTATTAGCAATAGGTCTTTGATTTTCTTTTCAAATTTTCTCTCTTCTTGAATAAATTTTTTAAAGTTTTTTTCTAAAAATTATCTATTTTATATAGATTTTCTAATTCAATAAGTGAAGCTTGTAATTACTATTTTCGTATAATTAAAAATTTTTTCTTTCTGTGGTTATGTCTTTATTCTTGTTCTTAATGTTGTTTTGCAGTGTCTACTCTTTTTCTTGATTGAATTTGCCAAAGATTTAGCTATTTTATTTTACTCAGTTCAAAGCGTCTATTTTGTTTTTTACTCATCTTTTTTTATGGTTTTGTATTTCACTAATTTATGCTTTCTCCTCTTTTCTTTGGGCTTATTTTGTAGTCCTTTTTTGTATCTTCTTGAACTGAATGTCTAGCTAATTTATTTTATTTCTTTAATTTATTTAATAAATGCATGTGAAGCTACCTATTTTCTTCTGTGTGCCTCTTTGGCCATATTCCCTATATTTTTATTTTAGTGTTTTCCCTATTCTTAACATATAAATAGTTTCCAGTTTCAAATTTTATTTTCTCCTTAGCAAGAGCTATTTTAAAGGGGTTTATTTCCAATTGAATTTTTTTAGTAAAATATTTTTTCTCAAAAAATAACATTTTTCTTTCAATCATTATGAAAATTATACCCACAATTTGGCAATTATTTTTTAATCATTTATTTAATGGAAATGTGGAATAAAAATATCATCAATAAATACTAAAACCAAATTATTTCATGTCCCTTCTGCTTGAGGTCCATTGCCAGCTCTCCATAGCTTATTAGATACCATAAATCCCCTAGAGTAGAAAACAGAACCCTTCACAGCCTGTCTCCAACCTATCTTTTTCTGGGTCAAAGGAAAATCATAAAATTTCTTTAGCTTATGCAGCCCTAAGCTCCACACGTCTAGTCTCTTAAAGTATGGCATTTACACAAGAAGCTTATGTAAGTTCTTTTCATAGAGATTTTGACCATTATCTTATTTATTTTATCCTCGTCGCCTACATAGTTCTCTGTAGGGTTAGAGCTCAATGCATGTATTGGAATTAATGAATTTTCATATATTGCCATAAGCATCAAAATGTGCTGCATGATGCTTATGTCACTATTTCATTTCAACTTTGACAGTCTATTATGTTCATGGCCCTCTTCTAAGTACTGGCTATTGCCACTTTGGGTCCTTATCTATTATGTGTATACTGGAGACATAGAAAATATTGCTGTGATTTTACCCGCATCTCTCCTCTTTTCAAAGTCATTTCATACTTTTGAGTGATTTTAACTAGTTTACCATAATATTACCTTAGTACATATGGAAGTGGGACCTTCCACCAGGTGGAATGGTAGATTACAGGAACAAATTGTTAGGTGCTCCTGTCTCCCCAGAGCGATCCCTTCAGGAGACTTGAGACAAAACAGTCCAGCAACAGGGATAGAAAGAGCTCAAGATTTATGGTCTCATTGTTTTTAAAGGATATTTCACAACAAACCCATCAGACTGGTCTGGGGATCAAAGAGCTCACAACAGTTTGTAATATAAATCGTCACAATGTAGAAATAGCAGTGCTAACCAAGAGCTGTCCTGGGCATTTTTGGATGTGCACAGGCTGGAATCCCAGTATGTCATCTACCTAAGTCCTAAACCCTTCATTTCTCCAGCCATTTTGGTGCCAGAGAGCCTGGAGCTGCTGCCTTTATCCAAGGAACTGGTATTCTGCAGAGCTGTGAAACCTGGAAGGCCTCCTTGGGGTAAACAGTGAATTTCCCAGCTCGGTGAATAGGATGGTTTCTTATAAGTCAGGTTCTTATGGGCAAAGAAGAAAAATAACTTGTTTCCCCTCTGTATTCCTGACCTATGTAAAAAATAGTCTTGCCAAATGTCAACATTTCTCAAGCACCTGTCCTTGGGCTTCAGCTTTCCTCTCTCCGTAATTTTTCTCTGGACTGCTGTTACCAGATGGCAGATCCAGGCTCTTGAACAAGCCGGGGAGGAGAATCTTTCATGGGACTGAGAGAAAGAAAAGAAAGAGGGACAGACTGATGGAACATTTAGACAATATGACTTTATTAGAAAACAAAAATATGCGCAGAAGCATGCACAAGCATCCCGCACAAGTGGGGAGCTACCCCCCGGATTCCTAAGGGGAGGGTTTATATGTTGTTCTGGGATGGGGGTGTTTCTCTTAACTTAGGGGAGGAATATTTGGCTGTGGGGAAGGATCTAGGGTAATTACGCTGTAATATGCAGATGTAAGTTTGCATCAGCTTCCCGTCATGCATCCCTGACTTTCTGGTCCTGCACAGTGAAGTCACTTTCCCCTTAACTTTCTCCTTTCCAGTCTAACTTCATGGATGAAAGGTGGTCTGCAGTTTTGTTCCTCCTGGCGTAATACTTTTCTTTAAGAAATAGACTTTGTTTTTGTAGCAGTTTTTGGTTTACAGAAAAATTGAGCAGGAAGTACAGACAGTTTACATACTCTCTCCACACATAGTTTCTATTATTAACATCTTACATTAATGTTGTGCGTTTGTTACAATTGTGAGTCAAAATTGATACATTATCACTGATCAAAGTTTTCACCAGTTTTCCCTCTTTGTGTTGTAAAGTTCTGTGGGTTTTGCCAAACACATAATGTATGTATTCAACATGACGGTATCATACGGAATAGTTTCACTGCCCTAAAAATCCTCCGTGCTCCACCATCTCATCCCTCCTCTCCCTCCTTCTCCCCTGAAACCCTGGCAACCAATTTTTTTTTTTCATTACCTCAAACATTTATCATTTCTTTATTGGGAAGGGTTTTTTGTTTAAAGCAGATTATTTTTGGTGTTTATGTATCTTTTCTAAGTATGTTGCATTATAGTCAGAGAATGTGATTTATATGATTTCTGCTTTGAGGAACTTTATTAAAAGTTTCTTTGAGGCCTGTTATACTCAACTTTTGTCAAAAGACTGTACCTTCTTGTGTGTGTGTGTGTGTGTGTGTGTGTGTGTGTGTGTGTGTGTGTGTGTGTGTGTATACACTGTTCTATGTACTTCTGTTGCATCAAGCTTGTTAACTGAGTTACTCAAATCCTTATAGCTCTTTCACAGTTTTTTTCTATTTGATTCACTGGTTTGTGAAAGAGGTTACTGAGGTCTCCCTGTCAATGTTAACTTCTTCCCACTTATTTTTGGGGAGTTACATATTTTGAAGATATATTCTTAGGTACATTAAGGTTCGTGTCTCATATTTACTTTACGAATTGCACATTTTATTTCTTGTTGTAGTGGCTCCTACCTGTCCATCCTAGGAGTCAGCAGCAACCTTTAGCACTGCCTGCCTTTCTGGCCATGGTTCCAACACTCACTCATTTATCCTTTAGGCAGATGTTGCAGCTGTTAGATACCCAGCACAAGTAGGGTACATAGGAAGACCTTCTGACTCCTTTCCCCAGTTAGTCAACCAGACCCTATTCTCCCTCTTTAATCTCTTGATTTCAGAGTTTGAAACTTTTTTGAGACTATTTGCACATCTGCAACAATTTTCTTTTTCTTCTTCCTTTTTTTTGTTTTTTGTTTGTTTTTGCTTCTTTTTTGGTGGATGGCCTGTACAGAGATCAAACCCTCAACCTTGTTATCAGCACCACTCTTTAACAAACTGAGCTAACTGGCTAGCCCTGCCAGTTTTCTTCTTTGCAGTTTTCAGCACTGGTTTCCTATCTCAAACCATAAAATTTTAGTTCCACTGATGATGTTTACTTGTTTTTCAGTGTTGTTATTACAAATAAATCGCTTTCTTTCCTCTCTCTCTCCTCCTCTTTCTCTCTTTCTCTTTGGATGGCACTAGTGAAACAAACATATGTCACTTAGCCATCTTGATCCAATATGCACTAGCTTTTTTAGAGTGCAGTAACAACTTTTCTTATGTTATTTTCATTTAGTAGCATGAGCTGAGTAATTACATTCTAGTCTAAATTATTCATCTAGGCAATGGCTGACTTATTAATTTTTTAAAAATTGATTTTGTACAATTTTTTTTCAGACTGAAACTTGATCTTTAGAATGAGTCTAAATTTAATAATCAGTGGTTAATAACTGCAGTGTGAACATTTTTAGAGCTGGGACTTTAATGAAGTCATCAAATATAGTGAAGCAAAATGATCAGTTGGGAAATACTCTACGTGCACGATCAAGAGACCTGGTTCTAGTGCATGGTTAGTGTGATATTTGGCAAGTCACATACCTATTCTCTCTCCTCATCTCCTATTTGTTTTGAGACTCACATAGGAGAATTGAAGTGGGAAGTTTTTGGTAATATGAAAGATAGGACATTTTTAGCATCATTTCTTTTGCTTTTTTCAATTGTCTGAGTCATCTTTTCAGTAGGTTAAGGACGTTTACTGATTAGCCTTTAATTTATGTGGTCTCCTCTCTATAACATATTGATAATAAGAGTAATCATAGGGTGATTATCACACGTAAGTTGTCAGTCATTTCTATTTTAACAGCTTTGACCAGGACTAAAATCATATTCATCAAAGTAACCGAAACTGTCAATGAGTATGGAGTTCTTCTAGTCCCATAGTGACAATATCAAAAACTCTCATACTTCACTCTCCAATACTTAGTGACTCACATCCACCACAAATTTTGACAAACTATATTTCCAAGAATTTGCTAAGACCAGCAGGATTCTGACAGCTGAAAGTATTTCTTTTAATATGAATAAGAATTATTACACTAAAAGTAAACCAAAGAGACATTTGTTGTGGGACTTCTGTGGTTCAGAAGAAAAATAAAGATAAAAGTTGGGGTGTTGTTTTTGTTTTCCCATTTCAGACTAGGTAAAATTTGAATCATGAAAAATCTAAAGGTAACAATTTAAATAATAGGAAAACAAGTTTAATGATTTAAATAGTTGTCTATTTTCTCTCTGACTAATATTTGCTTTTTTTTTTTAGGGACATTTAGGATTGATGGGACCTAAAGGAGAACCAGGAATTCCAGGTTATAGGGTAAGTATTTCTAATTGCAATATATATAATTATATATATTTAAATCTTTAATCTATAAATCTTTCTATCATATTTAGTCCTCATCCCCCTATAGAGCAAATCCTCTTTTTCATTTCAGAGTAGTACAAGATCTAAGCATGAGCTTGGTGGCATTAGGTAGAGCATGTACAAATGATACAGAAAGTGTCTACTTGCTTGTCCTTTTGTAGGGCCATCAAGGTCAACCAGGACTCTCTGGGTTGCCAGGACCTAAAGGAGAAAAGGTATGTTTATACTGACTTTTTAATCCTAAAGTTAAACGTTGAAATCAGGAATTCTTTCTCAAAGAATGCATGGAAACATTTTTAAGGAATAAAAGAAGCACTTTTCAAGTTGGAAATTTTTCAAATTCTAGAAGAAAAGAATAAATTTCAAGGAGCTTAAAATTTAAATAAATTCTTAAAATATCTTCCATGGATTGTTTCAATATCTAAGTGAAATAATATATATGAAAGTGCTTTAAAATCTATAAAGCTTTGTAGAAATGAAATTAATTACTTATTGAAAGAGATCATGAGACTCTAGATTAAATGACTAATTATAGTACATTTATATTAAAATTTTTGATGAGTTGAGAATAACTACAACAGTACTCTTGGTTTATAATAATATCATTGAGTTTGGGTTTTTTGGGGTTTTTTTTTGGTTTGGTTTTTGTGTTGGGGGTTTTTTTTGGCAGCTGGCACATACAGGGATCAAACCCTGGACCTTGGTGTTATCAGCACAGTGCTCTGACGAACTGAACTAACCAGCCAGGCAATAATATCATTGAAAACCTGACACTTTGATAAAATTCCTAAGCTCCTTTTTATGTAATTAAAGCAGACTGACACTTCCAAGAAGAACCACATACTAATTATAATTGTGTATAAAATATCTTATGCTTAGTTTCTTAGGTAAAAGTTTTCCACTCAAAAAAGATAAAAGCAAGGTGTATATTTTCAAACATATTAGAAAATAATAAGCTGTATATTTTAAAAGGTTATTTTATTATTTTTTCTTTGTTTGCAAATCATTATGTTTATTTTAGGGTTACCCAGGAGAAGATAGCACAGTCCTAGGACCACCTGGGCCTCGAGGTGAACCAGTAGGTCTTTTTCTAAAATTATTTTGATGCTCCAAGATAAAATGCAACAACTACAGTAGATTCACAACACCAATCACATCTTTTCAAAGAATTTTATTTTGTATTTTATCACATGGTGTGACAAGACAGCAGTTTTTTTGGTTGTAAAACCTAAATAATATGAAAGTCTTAGATATGAAAAATATGCAGGTCAAGATTCTTAGCATAATATGTAGGCTTAATACAATACCTTCCCAAATCTAACTTTCACCATTGAATGCATGGTAACAACTATTTGCAGTGATTGTTTAAAAACTTTATATAATCTAGACATTTTAGGACAGATTTATTTTTAATTATTAAATTCAAGATTATTTCTAAAGCATTTAAAAAACTGACCCGAATACTTCTTATAGTAGTTTACACACACTTACAAAGTGATTTTAAAATGCTTCTAACCAGTTATTAGAATCAATAACCTTTATTTTTTATTTTATTTTTATTTATTTATTTATATTTATTTTATAAATATAAAATGTAGTTGATTTTCATGTCCCTTTACTGAATCCTCCCTCCACCCTCCCTCTCCCCGCTCCATCAACATCATATCTGTTCGCTTGTCTTAACAAGTTCAAGGAGTTGTGATTGTTGTGGCTTCTTCCCCACCCCGCCATTTGTCTGTGTATGTATGTACTTATTTTCAGCTCCCACAAATAAGTGAGAACGTAGTATTTCTCTATCTATGCCTGACTTATTTCACTTAATGTAATTCTTCCTAAGTCCATCCATGTTGCTGTGAATGGTAGTATTTCATTTGTTTTTATAGCAGAGTAGTGTTCCATTGTGTAGATATACCACAGTTTTCTTATCCACTCATCAGATTATGGACATTGGGCTGGTTCCAACTCTTGGCTATTGTAAATAGAGCTGCAATAAACATTAGAGTACAGGTATCCCTTCGGCTTGATTATTTCCATTCCTCTGGGTATATTCCCAACAGTGGAATAGCTGGGTCATATGGTAGATCTATCTGCAATTGTTTGAGGAACCTCCATACCATTTTGCATAAAGGCTGCACCATTTTGCAGACCCACCAACAGTGTAGGAGGTTTCCTTTTTCTCTGCAACCTTGTCAGCATTTATTATTCTCAGTCTTTTGAATATTAGCTTAATTGGAGTGAAATGGTATCTCAGCGTGGTTTTGATTTGCATTTACCAAATGCTGAGTGACGTTGAGCATTTTTTCATATGTCTCTTGGCCATTTGTATATCTTCCTTTGAGAAATGCATATTCAGCTCCTTTGCCCATTTTTTAATTGGGTTACTTGGTTTTTTGCTGTAAAGTTGTTTGAGTTTCTTGTATATTCAGGATGTTAATCCTTTGTCAGATGTATATGTTGAAAATATTTTCTCCCACTCTGTTGGTTGTCTTTTCACTCTGTTGTTTCTTTTGCTGTGCAGAAGCTTTTTAGTTTTGTATAGTCCCATTTGTTTATTTTTCCTTTGTTTGCCTGTGCTTTTGGGGTCATTTTCATGAAGTCTTTACCCAATCCTAGTTCCTGGAGTGTTTCCCCTATGTTTCCTTTAAGGTGTTTTGTTGTTTCACTTTTGATAGTATTGACATTTTCACAATGTTAATTTTTCCAATCCAAGAGCATGGGATATCTTTCCATCTTCTCGTGTCCTCTTTAATTTCTCTCAACAGTCATTTGTAGTTCTCTTTATAGAGATTTTTCACATCCCTGTTTAACTTTATTCCTAAGTATTTTATTTTTTTGGTGGTATTGTAAATGGGCTAGCTTTCTTGATTTCTTTTTCTGCATGTTCATTATTGAAGATTAGAAATGGTACTGATTTTTGGGTGTTGATTTTGTATCCTGCAACTTTGCTGAAATCATTTATCAACTCCAAGAGTTTTTTTGTAGAGGCTTTAGGCTGTTTGATACATAGGATCATGTCATCTGCAAACAGGGACAGTTTGACTTCATCTTTTCCAATCTGGATGCCCTTTATTTCCTTCTCTTCTGTGATTGCTGTGGCTAGTACTCCCAACACTGTGTTGAATAGGAGCAGTGAGAGTGGGCATCCTTGTCTAGTTCCTGTTCTTAAAGGAAAAGCTTTCATCTTTTCTCCCATTCAGGATGATTAGCAGTGGGCTTATCAAATATTGCTTTAATTATGTTGAGATACTTTCCATCTATACCTAACTTGTAGAGAGTCTTTATCATGGATGAATGTTGAATTTTGTCAAATACCTTTTCATCGTCTATAGAGATGATCATATGGTCTTTGTCTTTGCTTTTATTAATGTGGTGTATCACATTTACTGATTTGCTTATGTCGAACCAACCTTGCATCCCTGGGATGAATCCCACTTGATCATGGTGTATAATTTTGTGTATGTGTTGCTGTATTCTGTTAGCTAGTATTTTATTGAGGATTTTAGCATCTATATTCATCGAGGATATTGGCCTGTATTTTTCTTTTTTTGTTGTATATTTGTCTGGTTTTGGTAATCAGGGTGATGTTTGCTTCATAGAATGAGTTTGGGAGAATGGCCTCTGTTTCTATCTTTTGGAATAGTTTGTAGAGAATTGGTATCAATTTCTATTTAAAGGTTTGGTAGAATTCTGCAGTTAGCCCATCTGGTCCTGGGCTTTTCTTTATTGGAAAAATATGGAACTCTTCATGAATTTGTGTGTCATCCTTGCACAGGGACCATGCTAATCTTCTCTGTATCCTTCCAATTTTAGTATATGTGCTGCTGAAGTGAGCACGAATCAATAACCTTTAAAAATTTCTGATCAATGGTCTTCTAATTAAGAATTTTAAGGGCTAACTGTAACCATGGTCTTTGAACATTAGCTATTGTAGCTTTGATTATCTGAATAACTGCCTCTGTGTCTAAAGAACATATATAAATTAAGCAAGTAAAATAAAAATGCTTAGTTCACAGAAATAAATGTAATTGTTATATTTTCCACTTTTCACCTAGTATCATATAGGATAAAAGAATTGTAAGGTGGCACAAGGATCAAAATATGTAGTCACTCCTGATATTTTGATCTGGCTCTTTGGAGATGGTTGAGAGTTATGCTTTGTTTTAGAAATAGACAGAAAAGATTCTAGAATTTTTCTGATTAAATCAAGCCATCTCATATAGAAGCAAATTTCTCTATATGAATATGTAGTTGTCTTTATCAAATGTATTCTAGTCTTTCTAAACCACTAAGAGAGAGCAATATATGGGAATAATACAAAAATGTAAAAAAAAATGAAAAAAAAAATTGTCAAATGAAGTACAGTAGTGCTTGTTTTCCCCAGATTTGGGTATGCCTGGATCAAAGAATGTCACCTGAAATAAAATAAGTATGTTAAAAGTCGACACAACAATGGTTGTTTTATCCAGTAGATGTGAGACAGGCATGAAACTTAAGCCAGGAATATCCTAAATAAATAAAACAGAGTCGGAGACTATTACCTTTACCTTATGTCTATTAACTTTATCCACACAGGAATAATTTAAAATTTATCAATTAAGGTTCCATAATAAATTCTGTGGTTTTGCCAACTAATTTCAATTTAAGTTTCTGTTCAAAAAGGTCTTAGTATATGATCACTAATGTTTTGAGTGCATTTTAGAGTAGATAATTTGAATGGTTTATCATATCAAAGACTTTATATTAGAAATATTTAGAAAAAGTTAAGTCTGAGTTTATTAAGTTAGTTTCTGCCTTAAGGATTAGAGTTAGTAAGTACAATTTTATAAGTTAATTTATGCCTTGAGGATTAAAATTTCAAGGACTAAAGAACAAATGATAGAATTGCTGATGAAGAAGGTAAAGTAGAATTAACTATTAAATACTTTTTAAAAGGTCATTTAAATATAATCTTATATAATTAATGGAGTTTGAGTAAGTAAGTGGCTGAACAATCCTGCTTAAATCTTTTTTCAACATTTTTTTTTTTGACTGGTAAGGGGATCGCAACCCTTGGCATGGTGGTCTGCATCACGCTCAACCAGTGAGTGCACTGGCCATCCTTATATAGAATCCAAACCCGCAGCCTCAGCGCTACCAGCGCCACACTCTCCCGAGTGAGCCATGGAGCCGGCCCTTCATTTTAATATTAAATATTTTGGCATCATTTGTAACACATTATACTCATCTAAAAATTCATATTCTTAAATTGGACTTCATTTCTTCAATATTTTTTCTAGCAGAATTATTAAAAGATTCTCTTTATAGAATTCAGCACTTAGCATATTTTGATGTTCTTGATGTCATTGAAACTCAATCTTCTGAAATTATTTAGTGGAATTAAACAAATTATCATACAATTGGTTTTATATTTTTGGCAAAAGAATAAAACACTAGAAAAAGAGAGAAAGAATAAATAAGAAAGAGTAAAACACACTAACGGTATCATCATCCACATTGACAAATACTTAGATGCAGCTGTGAAGTTGATTGTTTTTGTGTGGTCTCTGTAGGGTCCAGTGGGGGAGCAAGGAGAGAGAGGACAGCCTGGACCAGAGGGATACAAGGTAATTACTGCAAGGCATATGCCTTGCTTTTAAATTCGAGTAGGGCTCTCTGTGGGTCTGCTCAGTTTCAGATGAAAACAAGCATATTGAGATATGAGTGTACTTCAGAGAGTTCGTGGAAAAATGCAATTAAAAGATAGTGTGAATCTTTCCATGAACTTTTTCAGGACCCCTCATAATTAGTAGTGTCTTATGTTTTGGATCCCAGCTCTTCCTACTTACTGTTTCTTTTCCTAGAATCATCTTCGTCTCTTCCCATTGCTCCTTTTTTCTTCATTCAGATCTCAGCTGAAATGTTACCTCCTGAGAGGCCTTCTCTAACTGCTCTATCTAAAATAGAGTTATAGCCATCACTTCGTACCATATTTCCTGATTTTTTTCATGCCAGTGCTGTATTATTATTTTTTATACATTTTTGCTTGTTTGTTTATTGTCTGTCTCCTTCCACCAAAATGTAAGAATCATAAGAATAAGAATCTTATCTCTCTTTTTCATTATTATAGTCCCAATTTCTGGAACACAAACTTCTTGTTATATAGAAGGAATTCAATGAAGAACTGTCAAATGGATGGATAAATACCATTACACTATCAAAACTTAAGTCAATTCTTATCCTTTTCCATTGCTTAGAAGGATTTTATAAGACCAACTTTATCAGCTAAAATTATATTAGACTCTGTGTACAGCTTAGTCAGCATCATTTTTTAAAATCACATTTGTGTTGAAGATGTTCCGTATTTCCACCTTATATCTCTTCCGACTATGTTTACAATGTCAGTTGCTAAAAAAATGGTCATCTGTTAACTCTCTCCCTATAGTTCCTGTCTTGTTCCTTTCTCACAACATTCTCTGCCTACTCACATTATGTAATATTTATTTCATAAATCCTTTCTGTCCTTTATAATTTAGCTCAAACTCCCTTTTTCCCTGACCCACTCTAATAGTAACTTTGACCTCTTCTGTAATCCTTTAATATTATTGCTTATGTAAGTCATTCAACACAATTATTTTACCATCTTCTGTTGCTAATTTTTTTTTTGCTAATTATTTTTGAATATGCAGGTGTCTTAGCTCCCCACATTGAATATGACTTTTTCTTTCCTGTACAATGTCTAGTTCTGAGCCCTGTACATAATAGGCTTTTAATAATAAATTGATGGGTTCATTGATCCAATACATTTCTTTCTCAAGGTAAAATTTCTGTGGTCATGCCTGAAATGCAGACTTAGATTAGCCAGGCTGAATGGACAAGCTGGTAGATACAGAATTACCATGAATAAACTGATTTTCTCAAGCTAAAGGAATCTGAAAAATTGACTTTTACTTTGTAAAACTCTTTTTGAAGCAAATCTTGCTCTAAATGTTAGCTCAAAATGTTTGTGAAATTGTTGTAATGTAATTTTGCATTTTTCTATTTTCAAAGAAACATTTATTAGAAAGATATATGTTCTGTATTCAATTTACATAGCATTTAATAAACAAGTATTTCCTAATGCAACAAATCCAGTGTATTTACTTGAAATTAGCTTTTCCTTGAGTTGAGAGCCCACCCCAACTGCTTCTGGCATAATTTGAGAAACTTCTTAAACTTCTTCAGCTTTTTCTGTGCATGACTTCTTCACACAGTCTCAGGAATATCAGCTCCTTTCATCATCTTTTGGCCTCTACCAACTACAGTATACTTACTAGCAAATAAGTAGTCAACTATTCAAGTGGGAGAAGAAAAGAACCTCTTCATCTGGCTAGCAGAAGAAAAGCTCTGCTTCCATTGTTTTGGACAGTCAGACATTCTTCCGAAGCCTTTCACCAGAGGGAAACTTTTCCCTAGGCTCACTATGGAATCTATTTCACCTTCTTCATTCCAACTATACTCCCGATTTAAGTTTTCAGTTGTGGATGTTTCATGAACTAGTGTTATCCACGTCTTACTTTCTGTCTTATTCCATCTTAAGTCGTTAGGCTTTAGGGGTCATGTTATTATTCATTGATGGTTCTGTTCTAAACAGTTAGCCATCTTGTGCCAGACAGCCACACTAACTTTATTGCTTAGATTCCTCAGTCATGAAATATCCACACTTACCCCTGTCAAGTCTTCCCAGACACAGATTTTTAAAAATTGATTATATATTTTCATAGGGCAAGAGCTGACCATCAGCACCTATGCCCAAGATGTGTTGAGCAAATCAATGCTATCAGCATGTTTGCCACCTCAAAGTGCAATTATTTCCCATGTCCCCTTCCCAACCTCTCCCCAATTCGCTTCTTCCTCCCTTCCCACCCCAGCAATGCTAGGTCTGTTCTTTCCCTTTGCAAGTTCAACATACCACTGTGACCTTTCTTTCCTTCCTTTTTTCTCTCTTAGCTTCCACTTATGAGTGAGGATATGTGATATTTTTCCCTCTGTGCCTGGCTTATTTCACTTAACATAATTTTCTCCAAACTCATCCATGTTGCTTCAAATGGCAGAATTTCATTCTTTTTTATGGCTGAGTAGTATTCCATTGTATATAAATGCCACATTTTCTTTATCCATTCATCTGTCAATGGACATTTAGGTTTGTTCCATATCTTGGCTATTGTAAATAGAGTTGTGATAAACATGGTAATGCAGGTATCCCTTTAACATGATGATTTACATTCTTTTGGGTATATACCAATAAGTGAGTTTGCTGGATCATATAGAAATCTGTAGTTGTTTGAGAAACCTCCATACTGTTTTCCATAGTGGCTGTATTAATTTACAGTCCCAGCAACAGAGTAGAAGAATTCCCTTTTCTCTACATCCTTGTCAGCATTTGTTTTTCTCAACCTTTTTGCTAGTAGCCAGTCTGACTGGGGTGAGATGATATCTCAATGGCAACCACAGATTTGATTTATACAGGGGAACCATGCTTTATTTAGAGTTAGATTATCCTGTTGTAGCCTCAGGTAATATTTTAAATTGTTTGCATTTCTATATAACTATTATATATACTATGATTTCACTCTGGTAAACTCATGGTTAGCATTACCACCAAGCTTTTTGTGGTGGTGGTAAAATACACATAACATAAAATTTACCATTTTAGCCATTTTAAATAGTATACTTCAGTGACATTTAGTACATACACATTGTTGTGTATAGCGAAGGAAAAATACTTTTTCCTTCCACCCTCTGAGTTCTTGCTGGAGACCCTGCAATAAAAGACAGATTAACAAGAGAAAAGCATACAGATTTATTTAATGTAAGTTTTATGTGACATGGGACCCTTCATAAGGAAATGAAGACTTGAAAAAAACATTTAAACCTGAGCATTTCTATGGTAGGTTTGATGCAGTGTAGAAAATCGTAGAAGAATGTGATAAGACAAAGGTATGAGCTAAGTTTAGTAAACTGGGAGAAACTTAGTAAGGCCTGTTCATTCAGATTCCTCTCTATGTCCCTTCACCTTGGGAGATAAGGATGCTCCTTTTCTCTGGGTGTTGGAAGAGCACCTCTCACATGCGAGTTTTATGACCTGCTTTAGGGGAAGGTCAGAAAGTCCTTCCTGCGTGTGCCCATTTCTCAAATTTCTTCAGCCTAAAATATTCAGTATACTTCATATGTGAACAGCACCACTGTCTAGTTCCGGAACATTTTCATCCCTTCCAAAAGGAAGCCCCACACCCATTAAGCAGTGATTCTCTATTCCTCTCAGCCCCTGAAAACCACTATTCTTTCTGTGTCTGTAGATTTATATATTTTGGATATTTCATATAAATAAAATTATATAATATATAATATATAGCCTTTTGTGTCTGGGTTTTTTAATTTACATAATGTTTTGAAAGTTCATCCATGTTGTAGAATGTATAAGCATTTCATTCTCTTTTGTGGCCAAATAATCACCAAACTTTTTAAAAACACTTTTACACTCACAAACAGCCTTACGATTGGGGTGAACTCATGATTATCCTTAGGAGAAAAAAAATGGAATGGATAATGCATATTTTGTTTTCCTTTTGTTATGAACTATTGGGACTTTTTAAAAATCCCTCTCATTATCCTTTGTTCTTTATTCCCCTTGAAGAAACTTAGAATGAAAAAGGTCAGGTGTGTCTTGCTCATTATCATTAATAAATGCTTATATATACTGACATACTTTACATGTTATATATGATAAAATTTCTACAAATTTAGTCTCTGGTCATTCTGCATGTATTTGAGTCTGCTGTGGGCCAGGAGCAGAGCTACGTGCCATGGATATAACACTGGACACCCCAGACACAGTCCCTTCCCCCGTGTACATTGCATATATAAGATAGCATAAAAACATTTAATCAGTATAAAATTTACATAGTAAATTATAATTGTCATCCTGCAAACTGTACATCACGTAGGTCAAGATAAATTCATGTAAAGCTTAAGAAAGCCAGAGGACATGGTAGGAATAAGCATATTATCCTGTCAACATCCACTTTTTAAAGGTATGAGCAGAAACACACAGATACCCAAGATTAAGTCAAGCTAAACTTACATGAGACAAAGTCCTAGAAATACTTTGAGTAAATTATGTTGCATCTCAAACTCCTTTTTTGGTTTGACAAAGGCCATAGAATTTTTTATACACAGTAAAATAATAATAACTAAATCCCTACGGGGCCATCATGCCTTAGCATCAAACATGCATGTCCAAATAGCTATTGGACATCATTATAGGCACCTCAAACTCAGAACTCAGTGTGTCCCAAACAATAGTATCATTCATCCTTCCCAAATTTGATCTGATCCTCCTCTTGTTAAGTTTTCAATTCAGTGAATGGTACCATCAGTCTCCCAAGTGTCCAGGCCAGTAAATGAATCCACTCTCTCTCTGTCTTACCTGCCCCACCGCCACTGTCCAAGCCAGTAAATGAATTCACTCTCTCTCTGTCTTACCTGCCCCACCGCCACTGTCCAAGCCAGTAAATGAATTCACTCTCTCTCTGTCTTACCTGCCCCACCGCCACTGTCCAAGCCAGTAAATGAATTCACTCTCTCTCTGTCTTACCTGCCCCACCGCCACTGTCCAAGCCAGTAAATGAATTCACTCTCTCTCTGTCTTACCTGCCCCACCGCCACTGTCCAAGCCAGTAAATGAATTCACTCTCTCTCTGTCTTACCTGCCCCACCGCCACTCCATCTTTCACATTCAATTGGCCACTTGTTTTGGCTTTTTAATCTCTGGAATCTAGCCACTTTGTCCTACTTTAAGTTCAAGCTTTCATCATTTTTCGCTTGAATTATTTCAATAGCTTCCTAACTAGACTCCCTGTCCCCAGTCATAGTCCTCTCAAATCCCTTCTCTACTTACATGTTCTGTCATATGAATCTCTATTTATTTCTCATGTTACTCTCTCTGCCGGAATGTCCTCACTTTACTGCCTGGAACACTCACCTTCCAAGATTGAGTTTATCATCACTTCCCTTATAAAATCCTCTCTGAGCTTCCCCTGGCCATCCAACTCATTCCACTACGAATATCATCAAGCAAAATCCATCACTTTCCATCACCTCGCCTATATAACTTTA